GTAGTTTTTCAGACAATGTTAGGGGTTAACCTGAACAGAAAGTAGAAAAAAACCGCAAATGCAGGTTGTTTTTCAGATGACGTTAGCATTAATGAGAATTAATGTGACATTAACCTGTACAGAAACTAGACAAAACCTGCTTCTTTTTACTTTTGGAAAATCCGGAAAGTAAAAAGGGGTGGGTTTTGTCTACTTTCTGTTTGGGTTAATGTCACATTAACCCCATTGTGTGTGAAAAACTTTTGCATGTTTTTCCCAGTTTTTAAATCCTGTTTTTGCATGGGATTTTTTTGCAGTTTGCCCCCATGTGATAAACTCCTATAACAGTGATTCCCAAACTTTGGTCTTCCAGGTTCGTGGACTTGGCTGGAAGTCAGGAATTGTGGGAGCTGAAGTCCAAAATATTTGGAGGACCACTGAATTATAAACCTACTGGTCTATAGCAACTGTAAAAACATTTCTTTTTGTAATGTCCCTTCAAATCGTTTCCAACTCATTCTGACACTAAGGTGACCCTGTCATATGGTTTTCCTGGCAAGATTTTTCACAGGGGTGTGTGTGTTGCTGTCGCCCTCCTCTGAGGCTGAGAGAATGTGACTTGCTAAAAGTCATATGGTGGGTTTCCATGGCAGAGTGGGAATTTGAACCCTGATTTCCCAGAATTCTAGTCCAAGACTCATAGAAACATAGAGGCAGAAGAGACCTGAAGGGCCATCAGGTCCAACCCCCCTGCCATGCAGAAACTCACAATCAAAGCACCCCCAACAGTTGGCTATCCAGACTCTGTTTAAAAACCTCCATATTAAAAAAAAACTCAAAGCACAACACATACATTCTTCAATTCTGGCTTTCTGTCATTTATTAACAAAATCCACTTGCAGATTCTGGGGCATTATTTATGAACAAATGAGAAAACCCAGGTGTACACAGTCACATAGCATAAGGGGGTTCTGCTTTACAGCAAAAGGGGCATTCAGATTTGGCAATTTGTCCTACTTTAAAGAGGACAGTCCTCCATTTGAAGGTGTTCTCTATTTGAAGGGCTGTTGAGTCCAAGTCTGGTTTAAAGATGAAGAAACATAAGAAGGGAGAACCAGGTCCTTGAAGTTGCCCATCAGGAATTGGTACCTGAACAGCAGAATGGGGAGCAGACAAACACATTCCCTGGTCACAACTTTCCACAGTAAGGTGAAATGCATTATATTTCTGTTTAATTTATAGTATTTAGTTCTAGATTTGCATCTCTGCCTATGAATCAGCATATGCATATTTTATGCAAATCTCCCCCACCCCAACAAAAAAGATTTTCCTCTGTTTGGTCAACCTATACTATCCCCATAAAACCTATGGCTTACCTTCACACAGTCCATAGTTCCTCTTCTTCTTGAGTTGTCAGATCAGATCACTGTAACAATGTGCCTCAATTACATCCTAGTTGGACTGTTATACATTTTGCATGAGGCTGCCTTTGAAGAGTTTTAGGAAACTTCAGCTGGTCCAGAGAGCTGCAGTCAGATTACTAAGGAGTGCTGGCTACAAAGAAGTACACAACTCCCTTCTTGCAACAGCTCCTCTGACTGCTGGTCCATTTCTGGGCCCAATTCAAAGTGCTGGTTATGACCTTAAAGCCCTACACAGCTCAGGTCCAGATTATTTGAAGGACCATATTCCCCCTTAAGAATCAGCCTATGCTATAAGATCTCCTAGGAGGCTGGTCTCTCTGTCCCGCCACCCTCTTGGGTATATCTGGTGGGAAAACAGGAGAGGGCCTTTTCAGAGGATGCTCCCAGGCTCTGGAACTCCCTTTCCAGAGATGTTAGAAGCTAGGGCATCCTCCCTATTTTCTTTTTACAGCAAGCAAAGACTTTTATTCCAACAGGCCAATGGCATCACACCTGGGGTGGGGTGGGGGAGACCAAACTGGGTGAAACCTCAGAGGAATTTGATGAGTGATGATATAAGGCCCATCTAACACAATGTGCTGGATATTGTTAATTATTGTGCCGATGTGTGTGAGAGAAAGTGTGATGTGTTCTTACTTTACTTAATTTTTTTCTGATGGTTTAATTGTGTTTTAACTTTTGTGTTTTGTGGATTTTTAACAATTTTTTTTTTATTGTAAGCTGCTTTGAGTCCCAATCTGGGGAAAAGGCAGGATAGAAATAAATATACTACAATGATGATAATGATGATGATGATGTTCTCAACAGAATCTGGAACCAGAAGTGAATGCAGCTGGAAATAAAATACCTAGGGAGAACTTTATGGGGAGGTAAGCAGATGTAGGGACAACTAATATCTCAGTCCTGTTCTCCTTTTGCTCCTTGGATCAGAACCTCCTTCCCTACTTTATATGTAATTGGGACAGACCAAGATATAAAAAATGTATCTGCTACTGTCATATCTAATCTGATCCTATTGTTATCCCATGCAAAACACCATTAGGCTTGTTTCTGGGGGTCCCCTCTTTCTGCTGAGCAGAATGGGACCTCTAGAGAGCACCTAGCTTATCTGTCACCATCCATTGATTAGAATCCCCCTTTTTAGCACTGTAATGGAACGGTTGTTGGGATTCCACTGACACCTCCCATCTCTGATGCTACAGAGACATTTCTTTCCTTTCCCCAACCCTGGTGAAGGGACTAGACCAGGGGTCGGCAACCTACGGCCCGCGGGCCAAACCCAGCCCACCAAGGCCTTGGAACCGGCCCGTGGCTGGTGCTGCCACCGCCGCCGCACCATGCGCGCCGCGAGGCACCATTTTTCTTTCCAAAATGGCGCCCATGCTCGCACACACATGTGCATGATGGCGGGCGCCATTTTGGAAGGCCAAACGGCGCCGGCGTCGTGCACATGCACACATCGCCAATGCCGTTTGGCCTTCCAAAACAGCGCCTGCTGCCATTTTGGAAGGCCAAACAGTGCCGGCGTCATGCGCATGCGCGCGAGAGTGCAGGGCACCATCCAAAATGACGCCCCACACTCACGTACGCATGGGCACCATGGCGGGGGTAACACAACCGCGGCCCGGGGGGACAGGGGGACCAGCCCCACCCCAAAAAAAGTTGCCGACCCCTTGACTAGACCAAGCAAATGCATGTGAAAGGGGAGCATGAGAGAAACAGTACTCTAGGGAAGAAATCACCATAGCCAAAGGGTATCTCTTTACATGAACGATTATCTTTCCCTCAGGCACAAGATGAAAAGTTACAAGTTACAGACATGTTAAATCATTTCAGCCAAGCCAGGAAAAGTAATAAAAGCCCCTGACGCAGCTAGCTAGTCCATTCTCCTATTCTACTCACAGATAAGATGGAATTTGTAGTTCTTGATGTTTATGGGATAACCAGGAATCTGGGCTCCGCTGTCCCATCCCAACCAGCTTCCCCAAAGGGACAGGAGCTTGGGCTTTTTATAACCTCTGCTGAGATGATCTTGAAGGTTCTTGCTTCTGCTCACTGTTCATTTCATAGGCAATTATTCTCTGTCATC